AGACTTTGTCAAGACGGTCCATAAATTACTGCTTGATTATATATGTTAATTGGATCTCCAACCAATTTGGTCAAATTTTTGGATTGCCGTATAAAAACATGTTTATGATATATATATATATATATCAATATATGTGTGTGTGTTGAGAGCTATATCTAGCTACAGTCAGAATGTCAAAGCATGTACGGTCCCGATTTAAAAAAAAACATATGATTACACATAGATTCGCCAAATCCATCTTTTGATTTCTTTTTATTTGGCCCAAATCCAACTCTTTTGATAATAAAGTGGGTTAATTATTAATAGTTTATCACTGATTTGAAAAGCTGTTTAATATAACTTTGTCGAATAACTTTTAACCAGAAAAAAAAAAACTTAATCAAATAACAGAATCTTAATATGTGAGAATGAAATGTTAAATGGTTAATAACGTGTAGGATATTAAATGGTTAATTAATGATCTAGAATGTTATATATATATATATATGTATATGTATATGTATATGTATATGTATATGTATATGTGTGTTGCTTGGTTAATTTTACGTTGCTTTTGTTTCACTATAAGCAAGTGGGGCAATGGATGCAACAAAAGCACGGACTAATGAATATAACACTTAATGTCGGATAAAGGCGAGGTAGTGATATTCTAATTCATCTAACCAAATGGAAGAATTTAATCGAAATGATCATTTTTCAAAGTGAAAGTTTTTACGTGCCCCACTTTTATCAAAACTGTAACGGGGGAAATAAATCATGGAAAATTAGATTAACTAAAATATCAATCAATCGAACAATTTTTTAAAAAATATACATGGATTTTTTTTAAAAAAAACTATAAAGCCTAATTATTGTATACATGGTCGAACGGAAATCCCACATCAGAAACTTTTTAATTGCTTACAATATTCACACACACATACTTTATATTTTACACCAGATATAAATTGAATTCATTATGTTCATTTTGAGACGAATAAAAACGTAAATAATTAATAAGATATACTGGCTTTAATTTGAATATTTGGTTATTGTAATTTATTTGAATTGCGAAAAGGTTTGATCGATGTTTATCCTTTGAATTGACCGTGTGTGAAGGGATCCGTGCAAGTATATTAAAGTGAACGTATCAATGAATTTAGCCAATAAAATCTAA